TTTCTGAGTGTAGATGAAGAGGGGGGATGAACCTGGGGAAGAGAGGAGATAGGGGAACAGACTGAGGTAAGAGGAAGGGAAGAAAACTGTGGTTGAGATATATGAAAGAAGAATGCAATCTAAATGGTTCTGATAAATTATTCTTTTAATTTGTAGAAATGATCACTACAAACAAACAAAGAGTTCACAAGGAGGACACAGTTTTTTTTTTAATCCATAGGAATTAGTTGAGTGAGTTAAAAATTTAATAGTCCCTCCTCTGTTGTATATTCATTGGTAGTCAGATATTTGTCTATATTACCACTAATACATATTCGAAATATATTATTAAAAAGAGCTTACATACAGTAAAAAATTTCAAAAACCTCCAAACTTTAAAACTTAAAAAAAAAGAAAGAAATGCATTCTCCGAAGGCATATGTATGGACTGATCTTGGGCATCTGGGGACACAGGACTTGTGCTCAGTTACTGAGATGAGCAAGCCTTGCAGCTGTGCCCTGCCCTAACTGGTTCCCAGTGATTTGCATGCACTCACTGCACAGCCTTGAGGACTTCTTCATATACCAGTCACACCCTGTACAGTTGTCACTGCAGTCAGGACTCAGCATGGACATGAGGGCCCTTGCTCACCTCCTTGGGCTCCTGCTGCTCTGTCTTCCAGGTAAAAAAGGAGTACAATGGGAATTTCACTGTTACACTATGATTAGTGAAGATTAGATTTTGGGCAAGGTCCTGTTTTATCATGCTTAACTATGTGGGCATTTATTATGTCTCCATTCCTAGGTGCCAGATGTGATATCCAGATTACCCAGTCTCCATCCTCTCTGTCTGCATCTCTGGGAGAGAGAGTCACTCTCACTTGCAGGTCCAGTCAGGACATTTACAATAATTTAAACTGGTATCAGCAGAAACCAGGGAATGCTCCTAAACTCTTAATCTATACGACATCCAACTTGCACACAGGAGTCCCATCAAGGTTCAGTGGCAGTAGGTCTGGGACAGATTATTCCCTCACCATCAGCAACATGGAGCCTGAAGATATTGCAACATATTACTGTCTACAGCATGATGAGTTTCCTCCCACAGTGATACAAGTCATAACATAAACCTCCAGGGAAGCAGAAGTGAGAGGCTGGGCTCCCACAGCTGTTCCTCATGACTCACTCACTGAAACTGTTTCTGAGATGTTACAGGATTTTTACAAAATCTCACAGAGAGACATTAGTTTTTCTGGAAGAGGCTAAAAAGCCCTCTCTGTACCTTAAATATCTTCCTTCTCTTTATTTCCAGCACTATAGAGTAAAAACGCCTTTTCTGCTTTAGCAGAGAACACAGCCATTCCCTGTGAGAGTCTGCATTGTATTACCAGCTGGAACTCATACAAAAGAGTAGAAGCTTCTGTGGACATTCTAAGCACACTTAAGTTTAAATTCAATGAATTTGCTTCTAAGCATCAGCATTTAAATGGCATGGAAATATTACTGAGAGAAGCTGACAACAGAAAGAATTCCTGATTTTCTCACAAAAGCTAGAGCACATGTGTCAGAGAAAGGAGAATTTGCCTAACGGTGATCTCCTTGGTGCCTTGATATTGCAGCCCTGGGTGCTGATACTCACAGCTGTCTGCAGATCTCCACCTAGGACTCGTCTGGCTCTGATGCCCACTGGTCTGCTTACAGGTATCAAACAAAATTGAATCACCCTCATATGACCCAATCCCTCTGTGTGAAGTTCACTGTAGATTTGTTGATATGAAATTTTAGAGAGTAATGGGCTGTTTTGAACATGCCTCCAGAAGTGATATTGTTGAAGAGTTTATATCCCATTGCATAGTTTTAGAAACAAAACATCAGCCCAACTACAGTGATCTATCTCCAAGTCTTTTTTTTTCACATTGTGTTGGGTAATATCTATTTCCCGTGTTTTTTTTTTTTTTAATGATGTCTCATTCGTATATGTGTCTGTCTGTGCATGTAGAGTACACACAGACTTAATTAGTATGATTTTAAACAAAGGAGAGCAAGTCACAAGATACAATACAACATTCCTGGGCTTCACTTTTTTTTAAAAAAAGTATTGCTGCTTTTGGAATTTCTACATAAATTTTGAACTGAGTGAATCAACTTTAGAAACTCCTTCCAGAATATTAGTTGAATTGCATTGAGTTTATGTGCAAAAATGCGGATAATATACATTTAAAAGTGGTTTCATGGACCTGGAGGGAATGACCAG